CAAACAATTATGTATATGTAATAACGTTAGTTTCTAATTATTGCTTACTTGTATGTTTACCTTTAAAGAAAATTTCGAAAGGGAGTTCTCTAATTGCAGATATGTATGCAGGCAAGTTTACAAGTTTATCTCCATTCCTGCTGGACTACAAGATGCAACATGACTGCACCACACAGTGTCCAACATAATGTCTTTTACACCGCGGAGCCTCATTACGTATTTGAGATATGGACACCGAAATAGCAAAAATAACACACTCTCATTCAAATACCTCTTTATAGACAATCTAGCAAGAAAAATATTGATTTAAGTGGGATAATAAGAATTTAAAAGATAAGATGACTACATAAAGCAGCAATATATTGTTTTACTTAATAAATCTCAAACGAGATGATTTTAAAGTATAATAATGTATGGATTTATATGTAATATTGAAGCAGATTGAAAACAAAATCAATAAAACTAATGATAAAAGAACCAAGACTTGAAAGCGTTTCATATATATGCTAACCCACAAATTCTGATCCTTTAAACCTGTCATGTCCCAGGGCTAGCACTGTGGAAAACAGCAAATTGAGGATTAGATGACCAGAAAATAGGCAACGTGTAAGAGTAAGAGACTGAGATGTTACAACTGGGTCAGGGAATCCACTCGTTATTTTCAAGACTGGAGAATTCCCTGAGATGAAGCATCCTGTCAGCAGTCTATAAAGTGATGCATTAGTTTGACACTGTCTGATGGCAAAGATCGCCTTGACCACGTATGTGTCTCCCATGGGACCAAACACAGTGTCCAGTATCTTATATGTTTGTTTGGGATGCAATCCAATAGCTTCTTTCTGTTCCACGTGCTTTTCACACTTTCTGTATGTTTATCTCTCATAGGTGGTTGTTTTATGCCAAACTCCTCCTTACAGCTTCCAATCTCTCCCCATAATCTTTAGTCTGTGGTACATCTATTACCGATAACTGAAAAGATGATTTTCAACATTTGATTCGAATGCCTGCTGCATATGATGGAAACACTATCTAACTGTGGCTGGGTCCTAGGAACTACAACAAATGTGTTATGTGTATGCTGTGCTTCAATCCTCACAATAAGCCAGTAAGTGGATGCTGTGATCACTCCAACATAACTGAGGTGCAGAAAGTTAGATCAATTGCCGGGGTCTAAAAACTCCTAGTACCAAGGATCTAATGTTTCTAACTTCAAAGTCCACTCTGTTATAATTGACCAAAGCATAATTTTATAGGCAGATTTTCCAATAGTCACACAAAGTACAAGATACTTTGCCACTGGTTTATCATTATCAAATGCACTGGCCAGACTAGCACCATTTCAGAAAAAAGAAAAAAAAGATATAAAATAAAGTATAAAAATAAAACTAGTGATCGCTTCGTAAGGTATATAAATGTCTAATCACTATATTGTATACCTAAAATCTAATATAGTGTGTCAACTGTAATTGGAAAATAAACAAAAACCTCAGAGAAAATAATAAATAAATAAATAAATAAATGTAATGGTGTTAATATCTACTTGTTTACCCAATGTTGAAAAATCCGAGTTGATTATAACTCTTTTCACACCCTTTGACGTTCCAAGTGTAACCTATTACTTCTGACTACGTATCAGAAATGTGTTCCGATTCTGCCCCCAGACTCCATTATAATCCTTACTGCTGTCCCAGTTTGCGCCACTTAATTGAACGGCTTTGAAAGAACCATACCTGGTCTGCTCTTCTACTCAAGTCTACTGTCCACATTGCTTTCATATGTATTTTTGTAAATGGAAATTTTAACTTGCTGATCTTAAAAATATTATTTATTTACCTATTTAAAAAAACCTTCAAACCCGTAGACATTCTATGACTCTCTATCCAAATCTCTAGATTTATTGTCCCCTATCTTTTACACCTCTGTTCAAGAGAGCTATTTGTGATGATGGAAATGCACAAACAAAAATAATAGTCAAACTCTAAAATAAACTTTAGGTGTAGAAAACACCTAAAGTGTTTATTGTGCTTCTCCTTGGAAAAATGCAAAAAAAAAAAAAGATTACCTAAAGATCCAAACATCATTTTTGTTCTCTAACTTGGATTTTAACTCCTATATACATTATTTAATAAATGTTATAAAACAATATACATGAGCGCTTAAATTCTACATTTCAAATGTGGCTGTTAAGGAGTTATTAATTTATTTTCCAAATTACTCAAACATATTTTTAAAACTCATTTGTAGAAAAAGCAATTGGAATCAATTAGTAGTATCTCAAATACTTATTTTTAAATTTCTGTATGTTTAGTATAGAAGTTTAGGGAAGAAATATATCAATTGTGATCAATATTACGTGGCCACAGGAAGCAGTCAAATTATTAATTTAAGCTTTCAGTTCAGTACAAAATGTAACACATGATCCATTCTCAAAGTCTAAAGTTTTCATAGATAAAAGGTAGTGTATTTTTATAAATGTTGAGATTTGATTTTTAGTGCATTTATTAGAAACCTGCTGGAAGCTGTTCAAATCAATTAATTTAATTATAATATCATACAATTAATTAATCTCATGTAGTTCTACGTGAATATCTTTTCTAATTGTTGGACATGATATCATTCTAAACTACAGCAATTTTCAGACTATCAAGTCATAAAAACTGAAATTGCATACTGAAATGAAAGCTACTATATATTTCAATAATTAGTACATGGTTAATATCTGGTTAATAACAATTCTAATAAGCATTTTATTATTCAATTTGTTGGTGTGTTTTCAAAACTGTGCTCTGGTTGTAGGTTTGATAAGAAGAGAAAAATGACTGAAATTGTATTGATAGCAATAGCAAAGAGAAACAAAAAACTGATTAGCATATTACTTCCATTCCTTGCTAACTGATTGTGCGGGCATCCATTTTTGTTGTGGTACTTGGAGCAAATACAACAGACACAACAACTCTACGACCAGGACAGCATTCTGGAGTGTGGCCTGGCTTGGCAAGGAAGCAAATCACATGTCATGTTTTCCCCCTCATACTTCATAGCAGAAGGAAATTCGAGTTGGAAAAGACATCAGAGTGATATGTCTGTACTTTATAGATGACAAAAGTGGGACTCTGAGAAAATCAAGGTTTAGGACGCGTAGGGGGGCTGCATTGCAGATAGTCCAACTTTCACCTCTGACACGTACTTCAGCACATCTGTGTGAAATCGTGTGGATTGCTCCAGTGTGACCCAGAGCCACTGCCTCTGAACAGCAGTGGAACATCTACATGTCAAACTCAAAGCTCAGTATTTCACACAAAACTCAACCCTTTCAACAAAGCAATAATGCAGACGAGACACCCTTTTCTTTTCCTGAGTAAACAAATGGAGGCTACAAGAGATTAAATCACTTGTCCAAGACCGGCTAATATGTGGCAGATGTGGAATTTGAACTCAGTTCAGTTGAACTCCTAGGACCACGTTTTCTGTTATACTTTCCAGATGCTTTCTTTAATGGGAAAGGTTGGTTTTGGTTCTGGAAGGACAATTATAGCTTACAAGAAAAGGGTGTTTATATCATTGCTAATAATTATATCAGTGTCAATATCCTTGTTAAAGACATTTAAGATATTATAGTACACAACAGTGGTACAAAATGTAGTTCTGAATTCCCAGGTTTCTTGTTAAGGGATTGAAGCAACTTATTTGTCTAAATGTAAAGGGTATATATATTAACAAAACTATAGTACAGAATACCAAGTGCAAAGATAAGGAACACCCAGGGAGCTATGAAAACGCAATGCAACCTTGGGCCTAAGATCATCTACTGCCAGGAAATGTAAAGAGAAAATCCTGTACTCACAGGATATTGAGAGACCAAGAACACATATAGAACAACAAATCTACATGCCCTCATTCTTTATTTTCCTTTGGATACCCTGAGTTTCTCCTGTTGTTTCTATTTTGCAACTAGTCACCTGCCTAAGTAACTATAAATAGAACAAAGACTAAGCAAGGGGAGAAAGGAAGAAACTCATTCTGCTGACTCCCAAAAGAGAGAGAACTAATTTTGACACCAGTTTCACTCAGCCTCTAGTAGGGTTGCAGGTTGTACAGAAAGGTGTATTTGTTGACTATGTTGCTCAATCTATGCCCTTTTAATAGCTAAAGCCTACTTCAAATAAGTATTTACTCTGAGGAGGTGTCTCCTACTAGATAAAACCATGCAGCCCATCTTTGAGGGAGCTAGTAAATTTCCACAAAGTTCAGAGATAAGTTCAGGAAAGACATCCTCTGAAAGAGGCTAGTAGCAATCATCACAGTCGATGAGTTACCATTTCAGTTGTGTCTTATTCTAGGAGACTGAAATATGTAGAACCTCTAACTAAGTCCATCAAGGTCATTCTGATGCAATCAAGTGGACTGTGACATGTTTGGGATGAAATTATAGTGTTGCCATTGAAACCATAGGGAACCTTGATAGTAAGAAGCTGCTAGTACATATTCAATATTGTCCAAGGAGACACTATCATGGTTTTAGAAAATGCATGTGTGTTAGTAAGATATATTCCTAGTGTGATAGAAAAATCCATTTAGAGAACAATAAAATACATTATAATTCTCTATACCCAACTTAACTAAGGACCTAAAACCTGCTTGACAAAATAGATTTTACTAGGACAGATTGGAGGAAGCAACAGAGAAGTTGCTCTTTTCCCCAGAAGAGCAACATTAAATAGTTTTTTAGTTTTATTATTAGAAAATTAAATTCAAATGTCTATAAAATTAAAGCCAATACACTGGACTCTTTTAGATTCCACTATTAATGTGTTAGGTCCTCCATTTAAGACTTTGATTTAAAAAAATCAACAAATTATAACTTCCTAAGTATTATAGGTAATCTTGCATATTATATAAATAATTGCTACAAAAGTACAGCTCAGTGATATAGATGAGAAATTCACAGCTCACATTAGAGTTAAGAAAGACAGATTTTAATAGAAAAGAAAATGTCTTACTTGGTTAAGAATGTCTTGTTTCTGTGCATGCAAGGAAAGAAAGAATACATGTATTAATGTAAGATAATTTATATTCATTATCTCATTATTGCTGATAATTTAACCGAAAGGTCAATTTTACAGATTGATTTTAAAACATACCCTAGATCCATGGGTCTCATAATTGATTCCAAAATAGCAGCATCAGTGTCAACCAGGATAGAAATACACATTTTTGAGCCCCACCCCAGGAACAGAAAAACTAAGGGGAGTGCTCAGGGAATAAACAAAAATCTGTGTCTCATAAGACCTCCAGGTGATTCTGATGCAAGCTAAAGTTTGAGAATCACTAACTGGATCAATCTTTAGTGTAATCAGCAAACAGTTCTAATGGACATGAGATAAATACAATGAATAACACACACAGTATAATTAAAACCTTCTGGAGAAGACTATGAAATAGAAGAGCATGTGTAAATATATATTAATGATTACTTAATTCCCCATTCTTCATGTTTTCTTCTACTAGAATAACATGCCTAGCCTCTCTCCATGCCTTTAAAGATGAATGTCTTTTCACTCATTGACCAGTACTTCATTTCTTCCCATCACTTTAGATGTCAATGGAACAATTTGGAATTGAAGTTGAAATCCAGGAAAAAGATAGATAGATAAATAGATAGATAGATAGATAGATAGATAGATAGATAGATAGATAATGGGAAGGGAAGGGAAGGGAAGGGAAGGGAAGGGAAGGGAAGGGAAGGGAAGGGAAGGGAAGGGAAGGGAAGGGAAGGGAAGGGAAGGGAAGGGAAGGGAAGGAGGAAGGAGGAAGGAGGGAAGGAAGGAGGGAAGGAAGGAGGGAAGGAAGGAGGGAAGGAAGGAGGGAAGGAGGGAAGGGAGGGAGGGAGGGAGGGAGGGAGGGAGAAAGAAAGAAAGAAAGAAAGAAAGAAAGAAAGAAAGAAAGAAAGAAAGAAAGAAAGAAAGAAAGAAAGAAAGAAAGAGAGAGAAAGAAAGAAAAATACATAGATAGATTCATTCAATGCCAAGCTGGTTCTTTCTCATTATCAAATTCTAGTGCTCTCATGAATATTTTATGTCCTGACTCTGCTTTACTGTGAACACTCACTAAGATTGCACGGCTACTACAAACTAGCTGTAATCACACACTTAACGTTCTATTATTGATGTAAGATTAGGTGGAAACTAACAGGACTGAGTAATAATTATCTGTGCTGGACTGTGCCGTACTCATTACATACAAAGTGCCATTCAATGTACTACTTTCTCACATAAATCGAAAGGCATAGCTTATGTGAAACACCTTCCGCTTCCCTTTCTCCTTCTCGTCGCCTGGCCTTCCTCTCGTTCTGCGTCCTAATCAATGTAGAGAAGAGGAAGGGCATCAGTCTTGCATTAAGATTCCCGATAACGGGGTTTTGATTATGGTTATTGTCATGAACTTAGCTAGTTAACTTTGGAGAAGTCATTCTGCTTTTCTTAAAATAAGCGTATTTATTTAAAAACTCTGTGATCATATTTGGGAATCTCAAGACCTTTTAAAACTTTCAATGCTTGGAGAATCTTTAAAGCAATTGTGCATATTTTATATTTTATGATTCTTCTATGTATTTCTTCAAATAATGATTATCAAATGATCTTTAAAAGATAGGAATAAAAAACAAATAAATCATATATAATAGTTAATATTTCTTTTCTATTAAAATATATCTAAATAGTTCAGATTTTCATTGGACTAAGTTTTTATATACAGTGCTCTTTTAATTCAGTAATACAAGTGAATGATAATAAAATAATAAATCTAGTATTTCAGCGGCTTTACTTTGTAAAGGAAGAAGTAATTTAGGTAGTGGTCTCTTTCTAAATACATACAACCATGTTCTTTTCAGAAAACAAATAATTAGTTCTTTATTCTATAGGCAGACTAGATTAGTCACTTTTCAAATTTTTCTTGTATAATTGAGCCAAACTAAGTATCATCTATGCCAAACCACTTTGAGCTCAACTTGACCAGTGAGTCAATATGTGAATTAACAGTAGGCATTCTTCATGAATTCCTAATGAATTCTTTCATACGGTTAGCCCTAGAGTAACCTTTATAAACTGGATGGAGCCATGTACTGAAGAGAACCGTAAGGCCTTAAAGATTTTTTTTTCAACATTGAATATTCCTAATTATTTCCTATTGGCTTTTGTGAAATATATACTAGTGTTAAAAAGTCATATAAACTTGATTTTTTTTTTCTCCTAAAGGGAAAACACAGACAAGGGTTAACATTAGAAAGTGGTTTCACTCTTAAATTAGAATTACTTTTGGATCATAATGAAATCTAATTTTTTAATTTTCCACTGTTTATTATTTTAATAATGCATTTCAAGAGCAGATCCATGCATTAATAGAGAGATGTTACATTATTGAAAAGGCTGACATCATATGTGTGTCTAAAAATGAATCTAACAATTACCTCAATAAATCCAGTGTACAGTGATTGATATTCCTCAATAAATATATAATATCATCAGTAAGACTAAGTCTTGAGAGTCCTTTAAGTAAGAAATCATTGCAGTAAAATGGCTACTACCTGAACAGCATCACATTTCAACTGAATTTAGAGCAAGCAACTAGCTTTAGGGAGAAAAAACTGGTTTCATTTCTGCATAGAGATTAAATAACATGCGTGTTTGTAGGTATGGTTGGTAATATAAATATTAATGACATAGTAGTGTCTTATAGTTTTTCATTCAAGTTGACATCTTGGACTTTCCCACTCTGCTTTCTTGGAATTTGAGATTTTCATGTCAACAAATTTATTGGCCAACAAATCTCCCGCTGTAGCATCGAGGAAAATCAAATGTAAGGGAAAATGTAGGTCAGATGTCTGCTTCTTTCCTGATAATAGGAACATAGGAATGGCTTTAAATTGCTTGACTTCCACTCTGGCCAGTTTGGCTCAGTGGTTGGAGCGTCGGCCTGCAGACCAGAGAGTCCCCAGTTCAGTTCCCACTAAGGGCACGTACCAAAAACAAAAAAAAAGATTGCTTAACTTCCCCCATAATTTGTAGCCACTAAATATCAACTTTTTTTTAAAAAAGGAAAATAAATCTTAGGTTAAAGAGTTTTAAAAGAATTTAAACAGAAGAAAATATGGTATAAAAATTGCTGACTACTAAAAATACTGAAAGAAAATCATAAAACAACATAAAAGTTTTAAGGTTGGAATTTAGAGACTGGGTTTTGACTCAAATGTGAAATACTATAAATCCCAGAGAAGTACAACATGTAAGATAACTCTGATCCTCTAAACATTCAAAACCACAATGACAATAACAAAAAAACAAACGACATTTTAACCAGTAAAAAATATTTATATCTAGATGGCTAGGGAATACATGCAAGCAAAAGGGTGTTATGCAAAGGGCAGTTTGTTTAAATTCCCATACACCCAAATATGACATGATGAAGCTGCAAAAGAACTCACAGCAATGCTGATCAAATATTTAAAATATAACATTCCTCAGCTGGCATTAAACAGAAGGTTATTTAACCAATAATTAGGACGGGAAAGGCATGCATTCAAGCATGGTGTGCAAAAGCAATCGAAAGGACATTAACTTTGTATAAGGAAAGAATTTCAGGGACTAATAGGTAAAAACAAGGTAGGGAGAGGAGAGCCTCTTTTTATGTCCAAGCTGACTCTTTAAAGTAGTAGATTAGTTACATCCATCACAAAATCTCTCAGTCAAGGGAATAACTCCCTGAAAAGAGTAACCCCCTGCCCTACATCAGTGTTTATTTGGGGTTTAAATGCTTAGGTCATAGAGTGAGAGTCGGTCACCCTTTCAGCCCTTCTATCGAATATTGTTTCCTGCCTTCCAGGAAAAAAGACCTAAAACTATACTGAAGATTATCTATACGCTTTCATGCACAGACTATAAAAATGCTATTTTCATTAGCAGAATATTTTTGCATTAAAAAGATCGTAAGTACAACATTCAATGTATCTCCCAGTATAGCATCTCATTATAAATTTCATTTTTTTTAATGTGATTTTACATGGTATACAGCATATATATTTTCAAGAACTACTCATTAAGATATCCCTCCTCCAAACACTTAAATGAAACTAAAAAAAGAAGAAGAAGCTTTACCCCTTCCGGATTATACTTTGCAAGCACACCATTACCATGGAATTCTTCTAGAACATCCTTTAATTTCTTTGTAGAATCTAGAAGAAACAGAAAACACACAAATTGTTTACACATGCCAACTGTGAGCATGAAACCCAGTCCAGAAACAAAGACCCCTTAAAAGAAAATCACCAACAGATCCTAAATCTTAAAGTGCACATGTAAAATGTTCTTCACCAGTTTTGAAAGGTGATTTAATTGAAAAGGACAATCACAAATAAAGGAAGGAACAGAAAAAAGTATGGTTTGCCCAAGCGTATCACCCAGGAATGGCACAATGCCTGTGTGTTATATAAACCGATGAGCATAAATGAATAGGTAGTAAGTTTTTCTTTCCCTTTCTCTTAATAACATCTAAATGAATAAAAATAGTTTAGGTTAAAAAGAAAACATAGGCTTTTGTTAAACTTTATAATGTATAGAGTGAATTTTTCATATATTACTACGTTAACTAAATAACAACCCTGGTGAATAAACAAGAAAAATAAAATCTGTAGCTAAGCCACAGTGGTGAACCCATTCAGAGGCAAACTACAGATTTCAGTATTTTGCAGGTACCTTCAGGAAGAATTTTCTAAATATACATAAAGCTTGACATTAAAGCTTATTTTAATTCAATTAAGAAACAAAGTTGATACATTACCAAAAGTATTTTAAATAACTTTTTCCATTTTTAAAAATAAATTTCAGAACTTTAATCATATTTTAAAAATGTATTTGTGGCTATACCAGTCATCAGCTGGTGTAAATGAGTTGTTTCCATATTTTGATTACTCTGAATAGTGCTGTTATGAACATTCAAGCATATGTATTTCCATGCAAATATGTTTCAATTCTCTTATACCTAAGAGGAGAATCACTGTGTCGTGTGGTAACTCAATGTTTAACATTTTGAGGAATTGCCAAGAAATTTTCACATTTTACATTCCTACTAGCAATGTATAAAGATTTCAATTTCTCTACATTTTTGCAGACACTTGCTATTTTCTATTATTATTATGATTATTAGGAATATGAATGGTTTTAATTTGCATTTAGTCCAATGATGCTCAATAAATTTTCATGTGCTCGTTAGCCATTTGTATATCTTTTATGGAGAAATGTCAGTTCAAGTCTTTCGACCATTTTTTAATTAGGTTGTTTTCTTTTTGTTATCGAGATCCTCTGGGGGTGGGTGGGTGTGTGGTGTGTGAGTGTGTGTGTGTGTACATGTGTGTGCTATAACATGCTTGAAGCCTGTACAGCTTCCTACATACTTATTTTTCAGTATATATTTTGCCAGTACTTTCAACACTGTGATTACATTTACTATGTTATTCCAGATCTCTTGTTAGATTATAGCTGGCCCGAGGAAGGAAAATGTACATTTTCATTTTTGCACAGCATCAAACTTAATACAAAGCGGAAACAATAGAATTGTAATATATATTAGGATTGATCAGAGCTATTCCTAAACTACAACCAATTACAGTAACAGCTTCAACATACACCTTAGCAGAAACTTACAATACTTCAGAGACCAGGTTGTATATTGAAGAGACATGAAGCTGATTCCCTGTTCTCCAATTCTTTGTGGTTGATAAAGCACCACTCTAAGTGAGCAGAATACCTTTCCATTCCTCTTGTTTATAGACACAGGTGTACACCATTCTGCACGTACTTACAGAGATATACACATATACAGATATATGAATTCTGGCATAACATACCCCAATAGACTTATGCTTATTTTAACCATATCTTCACCCCATGATAAAATAAAAGGGAAAAAGACATTTTGTTCTTCCACAGAACTGCATGAAGGCGGGCTGTTCATTTCAGGTTTCTACAGAAGTAAAACTCATCCAGTAGTCATTTATAAATGCCTAGAGAACACAATTCTTAAAATTATGCATGTCGATTTTTAGTGGTTTATTGGTCATTCATATTGCAATATTCTTAGTGAGGTGACTACCTGGAATAAATTAATAAATTAAGAGCCAACATCTGTGACTCCCATTTCCATGAACTGTGGCTCAAGGTTGATCTTGGTAGGAACCCATATTCAGCTGAATCATCATCAACTCAGCTTCTTTTTTCATCTCAAGTTCCATTTTTTAATATTTTGACATCTGAAATTTACCCACAATCTAATATCCACTTCACAATATAGTTTAGAAATGAGAACATTATCTTGTTCTTCTATTTTTGTTCTAATAACCTTTCTGGGGCCTAATCTCTCTGAGATTGAGGTCTTGCCTTGTCCAGCCACTATTCTATAAATGGGGATTTGGGTGTAGAACACCAGGGAGTCACACGTATCCTGCCTGGGCCCCTTTAAACAGAAGCTCGTACATGAACTGCCTACACATCTGCTTGGATTTCCAAATTCCACTAGACTGTGATAATCTTTCTGCTATGTTCTACCTACCTTCACAGGATAATGCACGTGTATTTACTTTGTAACTCAGCTGCTTTTCTGGATCTTTCCTAAAACCTGTCACCATAAACTTTCCAATCTTTTTGATGATGTCAACTCTAAGCCCCGTCTGTTTAAAACAATAGTGGGGCAGTGGGAGGAGAAAGGATGCACGAGAAATCTGACCTACCCTCTGGTATGAGACAGACTCTAAGGAAATGACGCCTGGATGCTAGATAGCAGGTGAGTGGAAGACAAAGTCTCAGTCCTATTTCCGCTCATATTGGAGCTTCAAGTACAAGAGCACAGTGACAGATTCTGGGCTGAGCACGGCTGAGAAATCCAGGCAAGCAGCCAGCCAGCCAGGCAGCTGTGAGCTGGGAGATCAATTCACAGTTAATACATATCTGCAATGGAACAAAGGTCTGGCATCCAAGGAGATTGACAACCGAAGCGCTGGGCAGCCAGATTCAAACAGCTAGTTTAATGCTCGGGATAAAGGATCAGTCCAGATGCTCAGCACAAAATACTGGATCTTCTAGAAAGCAAAGGAAGGTCGCAACTTGAGGAAATTTTGAAACGCAGGGTTACTTCCACAGGTACTGATGTTTGCCTTGTCCAGTAGGGCAGAGGACTTGGAGAAGAGCACTGGATGACAATTGCTGCCCTTTGACTAGTATATTAATCTTACCTGAACGTAGTTGATTAAGGTCAACCCTGACAGAAAGAATGGGGTCATTGTAGATGGCCATTCCCATTACCATCAGTATCATCTAAGAACTAAGGTGGTACTGAGCCTAAAAGTGGGAGTACTTTTGTTCAGGAAACACCTCTTTATATGTTGAGATAGATTAAATGTAGATGGGGACGCACAGAGCAGATTGTCTTATGGCTTGCCTTCCGAGCATGACTTGTTCCCTTGTGCATCCTCTCATGGTTGGCTGACTCACGTATACACAATGCCAGAGGAGTTAAATTGGTACATTTTAGGAATGCACAATTAGAAATGTTCTAATTCTGCTTGCATGATTTTCAAAGAAAACTTAATTCCTATTACATAATTCAAAAATTAAAATAAATCAATAAGTGCATTTGGCAATGTGTAGACAACAGAAGAATCAAACTAACGGATGCAAAAAAAAAAAAAATGCTCCATGAAAAATGAAACACTTCTAGTTTACCTCATGTCCTTTTAGGTGTCAGCTGCATCTTGAATGAGCTTCCTTTGTGATTTGACTGCCTCTCTGCATGCACTTGTTAGATTAATCACAAAGGCCCCGTGGAGTAATGGAAAGATTTAAAGCCAGAGAGATTTGGATTTGAGTCCTGGCTCCAGAATTTTTGGCTGAATGTTTCTGGGCATATTTTTAACCTCTTTGTGGCTCAATTTTCTAATACCAAAGATTTGAATAATGATATGGATCATGCAAATGTGTCTTGCAAAGTGTTTGGTGGCCAAGAAATTCCCATTCATTTGTTCCATCCTAAACATGATTGAAACATATGATCATCATTCAACAGTTACCTGTTGACTTTAGATTAAAGCACAAACCCCTGCTCTTAGCACAAGAGGTGTGTCAGAATATGATCTAAACCTACCTACCAATAACTATGTTATATGCCTTCCTTATGTATAATTCAATGTCTAGTCACCCAGCTCCCAAGGTGTCCCATGATTTTAGAGCTTGCTTTCTTTCTTTATGGTTTTTCCCCCAGAATTCCCTTCAATGCCAAATGAAGTTCAAGCATAACGTATGCTCTAGTTTACCCGCCACTTTGTTGACAAAATCTCTCAGGGCCTCCTTCAACCACAGTAGACAGCATTCCCCACAATAACTCTCTTCGAATCTATACCTGAGTCCTGGCTGGTATAGCTCACTGGTTAGAGCGTCGGCCCTCAGACCAAACGCTCACAGGTTCGATTCTCAGTCAAGGGGATGTACCTGGGTTGTAGTTTCAATCCCTAGCCCTGGTCAGGGCATGTGAGGGAGGCAACCAATCGATGTAGAGACACACTGATGTCTCTGTCTCTCTGTCTCTCTGTCTCTCTGTCTCTCTCTCTCTCTCTCTCTCTCTCCTCCCTCCCTTCTGTTCTCTTTAAAAGTCATTGGAAAAAATATCCTCGGGTGAGGATTAAAAAATCAAAACAAAACAAAAAAAACCATATCTGATTTATGCATTAAATACTATTACTATTTTTTTTTCTTTATTAATTTTAGAAAGAGAGGAAGGGAGAGGGAGAGAGAGACAGAAACATCATGAGAGAGAACATCGATTGGCCGCCTCCTGCATGCCCCCACTGGGGATCAGGCCCACAACCTGGGCATGTGTCCTGACTGGGAATCAAACCGGCGACCTCTTGGTGCATAGGTCAACACTCAACTACTAAGCCACACCGGCTGGACTACTATTAACACTATTAATTAAATTTTGCAGTATAGTGTTTTAGAGTTTGCAAAGTGTTTTCTCTTATTATTTTACTTAAAATTCACAATCACCTTGTGACTTTATCAAACTTTGTCTCCAATTAACACATGAAGAAATCAAGATTAAAGTAATTATTTTTCAAAAATCACACAACTAAAAGGGCTTGAACTAGTGATTAAACTCTTGCATATAACCAAAATCTCTTTGGAAAAG